AGGGAAGAAGTTCTTCCTCATCTTCAGCTGGAGCTTCCTCTGCTTCGGTTTGTGCCCGTTGCCCCTGGGCCGGTCGCTGGGCACCACTGGAAAGGGCCTGGCCCCGTCCTCCTGACCCCCACCCTGCAGATATTTGTAAGCATATATTAGGTCCCCTCTGAGCCTTCTCTTCTCCAGGCTGAACAAGCCCAGCTCCCTCAGCCTCTCCTCGTAGGAGAGATGCTCCAGTCCCCTCACCATCCTCGTAGCCCTAAAATACGTATAAATAAGTTCAAAGCGCAAAGACCAACGAAGCATCATGAGATAAGGTGGGCAGGATTAAAAATTCTGGACACAGAGGTTTCAAAGCACAAGTCCAGCAAAGCCATAAATGGGGTTTTGGGCCAGGAGAAAGCCCCCAGCAGTGGATCCACCCAAAAGGGACAAGGTGCCCCAGGAAGGGAAACTGGGGGGCAGAGAAGCGGGGTGCTCAGGTCTGGATCGGGCTACAAAACCGAACCACTCCTAAAGAATCTGCTCTGATTTTTCCAGACAGAAACGCGGAGCTGGATTTCTCCACTTTCCTGAATATAATGTACCGGCAGATGAAGCAGGAGGAACCCGAGAAGGAAATCCTCACGGCCTTGTCCATGATTGACAGGCAGAAGAGCGGCGTTATCTCCGCGTCGGAGCTGAGAGCCAAGCTGACGCGGCTCGGAGAAAAGCTTTCCGAGGAAGAAGGTATTTTGCAATTCAGAGATGTAGCAAACGCTCTCCCCCACCTTCTTCTTCCCTTCCCGGTTCTCCCCTGTAGCCGAATCGGAGCCCAGAGCAGGAGCGCGCCCAGGGCCGAGCAGAGCACGTTAGCCACGTCAGCTCGCTGCAGCTAATTAGACTAATTAGACAGCCAAGTCTCCTCGGCGCTGTCAGCCTTTACCCACGCCACGAGCGCTATGCAGGGGTTTTGTGCTTTGCAGAAGAGGCAAGGCAGCTGCCCGTGACCTGAGACCCGTTCCTTTTCTCGAGTCGTTTCCCAAATGATGATTTTTCACCCCGAGATGTTTCACTGTATTTGTGCATCTGTCCCACAGAGAGCCCCAGGAGAGCGTCCATCCGTCCATCTGTCCCCCAAGCTGCAGGGATCATAGAATCATAGAATGGTTGGGGTTGGAAGGGACCTTAAAGCTCATCTGGTTCCAACCCTCCTGCCATGAGCAGGGACATCTTCCCCCAGCCCAGGGTGCTCAGAGCTCCATCCAGCCTGGCCTTGAGCCCTGCCAGGGAGGGGGCAGCCACAGCTTCTCTGGGCAGCCTGGGCCAGGGCCTCACCACCCTCATGGGGAAGAATTTCTTCCCAATATCTCATCTAAATCTGCCCTCTGTTAGTTTAGAGCCGTTCCCCCTTGTGCTGTCACTGCACCCCCTTGGGAAAGGTGGATGGGGATGCTGGACACGGGGCACCGGCCGTTTCCAAAGAGCCCTGCCACGGTCAGCTCCGCGGCCAGCACAATTTGGAACAGAGAGACATTTTAATTAAGATTCTTTTTAAAAAAAAAGAAAAAACCCTGTCCTGTTCGCCAGACATTTGCCTCCAAGGGGCACGACAGGAGGGAACTTCCCGGAGGTTGAAAATGACCCAAACCTTTCAGCCAGCTGGCTTTGCCCTAGGTGTTTTATGCACGTATATAAAGTTTTTGAGCACGGGCCCCGCTTCCCCGGGCTGCAGGAGGCAGGGCAGTGCTCCGTGCACCCCTCAGCCCCGGGGCCGGGCTGTCCATCCCCTCCCTGCCCCAAACCACAGCCCCTTCGGCTGCTTCTCCAGCTCGGGCAGAGCTCTCGCCCCTCCGACCCCGCTGCAGGGAGCGGGGTCCGGAGCGTTGAGATTGCTCGCTCTCTGCCATCACCAGTTTGATACAGGCGAGGAATGAGTTTTACTGGTGTTATTGGGTTCGTACAGACCCCATTAGGCTCCTCGGGGGTACAAGAACTGTCCTTTCTAATGTTAAAGTAGAATTCAGATTTAAATCTAAATCATCGCCGTCACCAGCTGCGCAGCGACACACCGACACGGCACGTCTTCCAAGGCCTTCCTTCAACTCTTTAACTGCAGTAGTAGCTGCTGCAGCTACTTCCACCTGAAAACACTTTCAGAGCTATTATGAGAGCTGACGAGTGGAGATACAGAGACATTAACCCTAATTAAAGGCCTCCTAGCATGAACCCCTATTCTGTAAAGAAGATTCGGGAGGCGCGGGGGGATTTCCCAGCACCTTGGTGTACACGCTGTGCATCTGCTCACCCCTCGCTACAAGGCACTACGGATCCCAACGTAGGAAGCAAGGCTTCTTCTGAAGCAGACACTGCCCCTTGGCCTTGACGTGCTGCACTCCGGCTCGCTAAGCTGCTATAAATATTTGATGCCGGAACCGACCGCGTTTCATCCGCATCGGCGATTGCTCAGGAACCACTGGCACGTCCCTTCGTTTACAGGGGCTCCGGAGAAACCTTCGCTTCATTTTAATTTAACGAACCTTTACCAAATCAGAACCGACACATTTATCTTCTGTGTTATTTTTAAATGTTCGGGAATGTTCAGGGCTACGAGGATGATGAAGGGACTGGAGCATCTCTACTACAAGGACAGGCTGAGGGAGCTGG